GAGCGCAAATGGTGTCCTCGTCCATCCTCCTTGTTGAAGGGAAAGGACTGGGCAGGGATTGTTGAACTGAGGAAGTAAATGTGTGGTTGCGCAGGCGGTGTCAGAGAGAGGGCTTTTGTTTCTTTGATCATGGGACTCTATTCCGGGCACAAGAATTGTTAGGAAGAGATGAGATCCACCTAACGAAGAGAGGAAGGAGCATCTTCGCGGGCAGGCTTGCAAACCTAGTGAGGAGGACTTTGAACTAGGTTCGTCGGGGGATGGTGACCAAAACCCTGAGGGGAGTGGGGAAGTCGGATACTGGGAAGAAATGCAAAGAGGAATGAGCAACAAAAGAGGACCCATGATTCGAATGCAGAGGGTGGGGCGATCAACTGGTTATCTAAGGTATTTGTACACCAATGCGAGAAGCCTGGGTAACCAACAGGAAGAACTGAAGGCCCTGGCTCAGTCCAAGAAATATGATTTAACCAGAGACTTGGTGGGATGACTCGCATGACTGGAGCGCTGTCATGGAAGGGTATAGACTGTTCAGGAAGAACAGGCAGGGGAGAAAAGGAGGTGGAGTTGCACTGCATGTAAGAGAGCACTATGATTGCTCAGAATGCCAGTATATAGAGGGAGAAAACCCTGTTGAGAGTCTGTGGGTCAAGTTTAGAGGTGTAAGCAACAGCAGTGATGTTGCGGTTGGTGTCTGCTATAGAGTGCCAGATTAGGTGGATGAGGTAGAGGAGGAGTTCTTCGGGCAACTGAGAGAAATTTCCTGATTGCAGGCCCTGGTTCTCATGGAGAACTTTAATCACCCTGACATCTTGGGAGACCAATACAGCAGTACACAGACAATCCAGGAAGCTTTTGGAGAATGTTGGGGAGAACTTCTTGACACAAGTACTGAAGGATCCAACCAGGGGCTGTGCACAGCTTCACCTGCTGCTCACAAACAGGGAAGAACTAATAGGGGAAGTAGAGGCGGGTGACAACCTGGGAAGCAGAGATCACGAGATGGTAGATTTCAGGATCCTGACCAAAGGAAGAAGAGAGAGTAGTAAAATACACACCTTGGACTTCAGAAAAGCAGACTTTGACTCTCTGAGACCTGATGGGCAGAATCCCCTGGGATGCTAACCTGAAGGGGAAAGGAGCCCAGGAGAACTGCAGCATTTTATAGAAGCCTTACTGAATGCACAGAAAAATCATTCCAATGCGTAGCAAGAGAAGGAAATATGGTAGGAGACTGGAGTGGCTTACCGGGGAAATCCTTTGTGAACTTAAGCATGAAAAGGGAGCTTACAAAAAGTGAAAACTTGGACAGATGACTAGGGAGGAGTATAAATGTATAGCTTGAGAATGCAGGGGAGTTATCAGGAAGGCGAAAGCGCAGTTGGAATTGCAACTCAAAAGGGATGTGAAGGATAACAAAGGTTTCTACAGGCATGTTATCAAGAAGAAGGTGATCAGAGAAGGTGTAGGGCCCCTACTGGATGAGGGTGGTAACCTAGTGACAGATGATGTGGGGAAAGCTGAAGTACTTAATGCTTTCTTTGCCTTGGTCTTCACGAACAAGGTCAGCTCCCAGACTAATGTGCTAAGTGATGCAATATGGGACGATGGTGGACAGCCCTTGGTGGAGAAAGTTCCTAACCGTTCTATCTAAAAAAGCTAAACGTACATAAATCCATGGGTCTGGACTTAATACATCCGAGGGTACTGAGGGAGTTGGCAAATGTCATTGAGGAGCCTTTGGTCATTATCTTTGAAAAGTCATGGTGGTCGGGAGAGATCCCAGATGATTGGAAAAAGGTAAATGTAATGCCCATCTTTAAGAAAGAGAAGGACGATCCAGGGAACTATAGGCCGGTCACACTTACCTCAGTCCCTGGAAAAAATCATGAATGGGATCCTCAACGAATCCATTTTGAAGCACTTGGAAGAAGAGGAGGTGATCAGGAATAGTCTGCATGGATTCATGAGGGGCAAGTAGTGCTTGACCAGTCTGATTTAGCTTCTATTATGAGGTAACTGGCTCTGTGGATATGGGAAAGTCAGTAGATGTGATATACCAAGGCTTTTGATACGGTGTCCCACAATATTCTTGCCAGCAGGTTAAGGGAATGTGGATTGGCTAAAGGGATAGAAAGATGGCTGGAAGGTCGGGTAGTGATCAACAGCGACTAGTGATCAACGGCTTGATGTTAGGATGATGATCGGTTTCTAGTGGAGTGCCCCAAGGTTTGGTTCTGGGACCGGTTTTGTTCAACAGCTTCATTAATGACCTGGATGAGGGGATGGATTGCACCCACAGCAAATTTGCAGATGACACTAAGCTAGAGGAAGAGGTAGATATGCTGGAGGGCAGGGATAGAGTCCAGAGTGTCTTAGACAAATTGGAGGATTGAGCTATGAGAGATCTGATGCGATTCAACAAGGACAAGTGCAGAGTTCTGCACTTAGGACTGAAGAATCCCAAGCATTGTTACAGGCTGGGGACCAAGTGGCTAAGTAGCAGTTCTGCAGAAAAGGACCTGGGGATTACAGTGGATGAGAAGCTGGATATGAGTCAACAGTGTGCCCTTGTATCCAAGAAGGCTAATGGCATATTAGGTTGCATTAAGAGGATGATTGCCAGTAAATCCAGAGATGTGACTATTTCTCTTTATTCGGGTCTGGTGAGGCCACATCTGGAGTACTGTGTCCAGTTCTGGGCCACCAATTACAAGAAGGATGTGGATGCATTAGACAAGGTCCAGCGGAGGGCTACCAAAATGATTAGGAGCATATGGCCTACGAGGAAAGGCTGAGGGAGTTGGGTCTATTTAGTCTGCAGAAGCGAAGAGTGAGGGGGGATTTAATAGCAGCTTTCAACTTCCTGAAGGAAGGTTCCAAAGAGCCTGTTCTCAGTAGTGATGGATGGCAGAACAAGGAGCAAGGGTCTCAAGTTGTGGTGCGAGAGGTCCAGGTTGGATATTAGGAAAAACTATTTCACTAGAGGGTGGTCAAGCATTGGAATGGGTTACCTAGGGAAGTAGTGGAGTCTCCATCCCTAGAGGTGTTTAAGTCTCGGCTTGACAAAGCCCTTGCTGGGTTGATTTAATTGGGATTATCTGTCTGATAATGATCCAAAGTGGTGCAGACAAGTGCATGTTCATTTTCATCATCTGAGTTAGATGCCATCATCAAAAGGTGAATTTTCTTTTTTTGGTGGTTCAGGTTTTATAGGTTCCGTATAGGTGTGTTGCTCTTGGAAGACTCTTGACAGCATGTTCCACATCTCCTTCCTCTCAGATTTTGGAAAGTGCTTCAGGTTCTTAAGGCATGGGTTGTATGCTGTATCTATCTAGAAATTTCACACCGGTTCCTTCCTTGCATTTTGAACCTTAAATGAAAGTGTTCTTAAAATGAACGTGTGCTGGTGTCAGTCCTCCCCGCAGGATTTCAGTCACAAATTTAACTAACTCTTTTTTAAATGGGCATCATCAGCATGGAAGTATGCCCTCTGGAATGGTGGTCGAAGCACAAAGTGGCATTTGAATGTTTACATGTAAATTCTTTGCAAAGCCAGCTACTGAAGTGTTTGACTGGCTGAACAAGAAGTGGGACTGAGTGGACTTATAGGCTCTAAAGTTTTATATTGTATTAATTTTGAATGCAGTTACTTAACAAAATCTGTATTTTTAAATTACACTTTTACAATAGAGATTGTGCTACAGTACTTGTATGAGGTGAATAGATAAATACTGTATCATTTTTACAGTACAAATGTATAGTAATATAATGTAATTGAAATCTATACATTTTAAATGTAGAAACATATCTTAAAATATTTAATACACTTTAATTGGTACTCTATTAATAGTATGATTAAAACAAAAATTATTCACAATTTTTCAGTTAACAGATTAATGGGCACCCTCACAGGAACTTGGGAGACCCAAGTTGTAGTCTCCAGTGTGTACCCTAAACACACATCTGGGGTAGGTGTGTGTGTCACCCTGAGAAACCTCCCATCATATTTCAACAACTCTATAAAGTTTGTTTTACTGAACTGGAATTTCTGATGCAAAATGTTTCAATATAGGGTCAGGAATTCTTCAAGTGTTTGGATGGTTTGGAAGTATTTTCCTTTTCAGTGACTTTCATCCTTCAGTATAACAACTTACAACTCACCCTCTTATTTTCTAA